TCATAATTCATAACATATATAAGCATGTATGGGTATTTTGGGATAACTTACTTGAGCTCGACTGATTTCACGCACCACACCCTTTTCTCTTTTAGAAATTCTTTTTATAAAAACGTTTTCTTTTAAAATTTTCTATCGAGTTTTTAATTTAAGTTCAGTCACACCCGAGAGTGTGCCCGAATCCCTCAAACCAATGATCTGATACCAACTTGTAACACCCAAAAACATGATCCCAAAAATTTGTTTTTTTAATAATAGATAAAATAGTAATTCCAACAACATGTGTGGAAACATCATGTGCGGAAACCAATGGTATGTGCAATGCAGTCATCCCGAGCTCTTCCCTCTGGAACCAGAAGTACCTGAAACATAAACTGAAAATCGTAAGCACAAAGCTTAGCGAGTTCCCCCAAAATACCACATACCAAACATACAGTAAACATACAGTGGGCCTCGCCCGGTCATCAGGCCCCGCTCGGAAAGCATATAAACACATACACATGTAATATACACAACATATAGATAGTCATCGGGCTTCGCCCGACATCAGACCTTAGTCCAATAACATATCAACATAGGTACATGCAAGAGTTACAAAGACAACTAGCATTCTATCAACATAACATAAACATGGGCCGACATTTGTGCCTTCGACCCGCTAAACCCTGTAAGGAAACTCACCTCGAATGCTGAAAGATAACTGGATAAATCCTCGGCCCCGGAAACAGCTCTACACAACCCCTAAACAGAAACAATCCCTTAGATACCGATCAATATTTCAAAACCCCTTAATGGTCAAACTTGGCCAAAGTCAAAGTCAAAGACAAAGTCAACGCTTCGAGTTGACTCAACTCGTCGAGTTATCCTACAACTCACCGAGTTTTCCATTAAGCATATAATCGCGATATTTCAATCCAACTCGTCGATTTTCCCTTTAACTCGTCGAGTTCCTCCTTTTTCAACAGAATCGGGACAATCCTAACCCAACTCGTCGAGTTCCCTTAAGAACTTGTCGATTTCTTCGATCAGCCAACCCATTTAATGCATTAAGCCACTATTCTTCAAACCGAAGCCCTATCTTCCAGATCTAGACTGATAATACGTTTAGAAGGGTAAAGTTTCCAACTTTACCCATTAAGAACCACCCCAAAGGCATTAAGCTCAAACCCTAATCCTAAAAGGCTTATGTCTTAATCCAAAACCACCATATCTTCAAGATAGAGCTCATGAACACAGATCTGGACCTTAAAGGCTAAAAGGTCACGTAAAGTCTTCAACTTTACTCACATGCATGGCCAAATGAAGCTTAAAAGTCCAAAGCAAAGGCTTAAAGGATGCATGGAGCTCTTAGGACCATTGACACCTTTATGCCATAACATCTCAAGAGGACCAAAGATCTGGATAGATAGCACTTGGGACGACCTTCAACCCCACCAATCACCCAAACATGCCTAAAAGCCTCAAAACTAACTCAAAAAGAGATTCAATCAAATATTGAGCAATGTTAGAACTGTATACCAGAAAACTGTCGAAAATGAAGCAAGGATTTGAGATCTAGCAGCTCCTTCTTGTATCACCAAACTTCCCTTTCTTCCAATGGCTTCAAACACACTCAAAATAGCTCACAAACACTCAAAAGTGCCTTAGGGTTTCGAGGTTAGGGTTTAGGACAATGGAGGCTGGAAATGAGGCCAACTTGTGGGGTTTAAGTTGTTTAAACAGGGTGCAAAACCCCGGAATTATGGTTTCATTTCTTCCAGCCAAATCGTCGAGTTGAGACCTCCCAACTCGTCGAGTTGGTCACTTAAAATACGCGGTCCATATCATTTCAACACGACGATTCGGGGCCACCAACTCGTCGAGTTGCTTTATAAAATTGAATAAATTATAAATTTAAATACATACCAGGAACCAGACGTTACACTATTGTATTGAAAAAAATATAATTACTATGAAAAGTATATATATATATATATATAATTATATATTATATATATATATATATATATATATATATATATATATATATATATATGAACATACATGTCTATCATCTAAAATATAGATATTACAAATGTGATGTCTAAAGTTTTTTAGGGGTGATCGTATTAACCGAAAAATCGAACCAAAAGCAAATTAATCGAAATAACCGAACCATTACTAAAAAAGATGGTGCAGTTTCTATTTTTGATTAACCAAATACATATGGTTCGATTATGATTTTCATGACTAAAAACCAAACCGAACCAATAATATTAATAAATGTTTTTAATATAATGTAATATTAAATATATGATATGTTGTTATATTTAGAATTAAAAATTTATAAGGTAATTATTTGGAGTTAAATGAGATACTAATCTTCTATTATATTAAGGTTATAAACACGAATCATTCACTTTTTTTTAACAATGTACTTTATGTTTTTCAATTTTTATAGCAAAGTATTTTCTATTTTTATCTCATTTTCGACCATTACGATTAATCAATATTAATCATTAACTATAACCATTAACCGACAAAAACCGTTAACCAAAACCAATATTAACCAGTACCCAATAGCTACCAAAATGCATTAACAATTTATAATGGTTATTGTTCTGTTTTAGCTAAAAACTGAACCAAACTGCCCCATACACACTCCTAAAGCTTTTTAAGGTAACAATATTTTAAATGATATCTTTAACATTTTATAAAAAGAATAGGATAAAAATAGAAAACATTCGGGCTCACGTGACTACTCTCTTCTATGTTCTCGAATATAGAAAGCCTTCTAAAGGCCTAAGATGCAATTAATAAGTTTTTATATAATTTCACTAATATTTTGGCGTTTAATTTATATCACAATTTAAATGTAAAAGGGTTTCTGTTAATGCCACTTAATTCATCCCATTATGAGGTAATTTACTTCTAATACCCAAAAATTCCCAATTTTCATAATTAAGATCAAAGTACTTTATAGCAACATACTTTTGAAATTTCAACATACATTAACGTTTTTCATGCGAAACATCCACTTATAATTGCTTATCCATTTATTGAATTTACACACAAAACACAATTAAATAATTATATGGCATTTTCTCAACAAAAAGGTCAAAGAATATCTAACCCGTATCACTATGGGTGTTACATAGTCCCCTGTGGTTCATGGGTATACTATACCCATGAATGTACGGCCCTATTAAGACTTAGGATCAAGATGGCAATTGGTACCCATGAATGTACGACCCTGTTAAGACTTAGGATCAAGATGGCAATTGGTAGTGACATCATTCAATTATGATTATGCACATATATCAACAACCTTTTGAGGTATTTTTCCATGTACCATTGGAAGAGTTATTACTATAGGTTGGGCGATGTTATTTACTATAGGATAAATGAAATAATCCAAATATTAGTAGTTGATTGTTAGAATGCTAAGAGGGTACTAATGGGAACACCGCCTTGAGGCTTTAGTACCAAGAAAAAGACTCAGATACGGGGTGACTGTCTCGACCGTTCCACCCCTCCCCACGACTATATTAGTATATTTTGTTTTAAAAAAAACCTATATTCATTTTTTTCTTAAAAATTATCAATTCTTTCTCAAATTTCAAAATTTCATAAATCACTCTCCAAAAGTGCCAAATGTATTCATCATCTTCTTCATCAAGTTTAGATTCTCCGTATTTGGTTATATTCATCATAAAGTTTAGACGATGTATCTGCGAGGAAAATAATTGTATGGAAAAACAAAATCGTAAATTGTTGTCGGGGTCTATGTTAAATACAATGTCTTTAAAACAAATTCAACCTATATTGGTTGTTTGTTTCATGGGATTCAACATCGATAAGTGATTCCTCAAAACCACTTGAACCCTTGTAAGCCGTCTGCAACAAGAGGAAAAATTAAAACATATGAGAGTGAAGAAAAAATTGTTTCTTTGGTTTCAAACAACCACCAAATGACTCTATTTAAACACGAAAATATGAGATGGTGTGTTATAGAAAAATGATTATTTTCATGGTTGCTTATTGTTTAATTTAATACAAACGTTGGGTTTGCTCAAATTTCAATTGTTTATAACAGCTCTTTACTTCTTCTATATATCTGATTTTCTCATTAAAGTTTGAGATAAATAGTTGTACTAAATCCTTATAAAAAAGACTTTATTTTCATTATTTCAGAGTTTGGGTATTTTTAAGCTGAAAGGGAACAAAACTACAGTGGAAATGGTTTGAGTCAGTTAAGAAACAATAAAACATCGGACGGACAATTATGTTCCTATCGCCCCCTCCCCCACGATTACAAAACACATAACTCGAACGTCCATCAACTACATATGCTCTCCATCATACAATCCATCGACATTTCCACAAAGCAAACTAAAATCCAATAAGAACCCAAATCGCAAAATAACCGTGCCTCTTTCAATCCTCCATTGTTTCCTTTCTCGAGGTCAGAAGTCTTGACCCAGCCCCTTCTTTGCCCATTTGCATTTTCTTCAAGGATAATCGGGAAAAACAGGGGAGGTTGGGGGTGTAAAATTTCTGGGATTGTCTAATCAATCTCCGAACGTTTTGTTTACGATACATTTGAATCGTATCCATAAAGAATACATTTCTAAACTGTGTAGGAATTCAATTTTGTTGATATCGGTTGTTCCTTAGATTAGTTTTAATCCATTGAGGTTTTTCGTCGAAAAGGTTGTTTGCATGTATCTAAATTTAGTAACTTTTGATCGTAAGCTTTTCATCTTTAACCATTTTTAGCGTTCGTTTGAGGTTTTGCGTTTTTTCTTGGAGATAGCTTGACATTTGTGTGGGGAGATCAATTGGGTGTTTTGAATCTCGATACAATCGACTAGAACCGAATTGGCTGTGAAATTCAAATGTTTAGGGCTTATTATACGCAATCCGTAGAGGTACAGAATTCAGATGATAACATAAATCTCTTCAAATTGGTGATGTGATTTTGGTGTTTATGAAGCTCAGACCTCCTAATTTAGGGAAAGATGTATGCTGTAGGCAGGTTAAGCAGCTATATCACCCGGGGGGTTTCTACGGTTTCCGGCCCCTTCCACCCATTTGGTGGGGCCATTGATATCGTTGTGGTTCAACAACAAGATGGTAGTTTAAAATCATCTCCATGGTACGTTAGATTCGGTAAATTTCAAGGAGTTTTGAAGGCAAGAGAGAGAGTTGTTGACATTAACGTTAATGGGGTTGAAGCCGATTTTCATATGTATTTGAATCCAAGAGGAGAAGCTTATTTTCTCAGGAAAGAGATAGTTTCTGATCAGGAGTCGCGTTCAGGTGAAGCTGATAGAGATGGGCGATGCCTTAGGACAGTTAAGTCAAAAAGTCTTGATTATAATTTCGATCACTGTAATTCACTTACTGATGTCAACAACACCCAGCCTTTTTCCAGGAATTTAGGGTTTGTTCTTGAAAGGAAAAATATGAAAAATGAAGATGGTGTTGGTAGAAAGTCTGCAGATAGTGCTGAAATTGCAGCAGATCTTTTGGAAATGAAGTGGTCCACTAGTCTTTCTAGTTCTGCTAAAAGTAACAAAAACCTTGAACAACATAACAAGGATGATGATTCTGATGAGATCACTGGTGGAAAATTGGAGGGGAGTTTGGTTTTGCATGAAGAACACTTTGTAAATAAGTCATCATCAGAAGATAATGAGAGAAACCCTCAGGTTGATGAGGTTATGGTAACAAAAGTCGACAAAGATGGCATTGTAGAAATTTATGAAGGGCATGGGGGTAATTTGGAAAACGGTATTTTGAAAGAAGAAAGCTTAAGAGATGGATCAAATGGTTCTCATGGACAAGAAACAGTTGAAGAGCCTATAAAACTTGGAGATGGATGTCTCACAGAAGTTGCATGTATTCAACAAGAAAAAGTTTCAGAAGATGTTAAGCCATGTAATGTGGTTGCAGTTTCTGTTAGTCAAGTCAAAGATGAAGTCAAATCACCATTGGAGTTAAATAGTCAACTGTCTATAAGTCCGAATCTTGGGTCAGATTCATCTCCAAGCACATTTGAACATGAGATTATCAAAGATATGAAGGGAAATCTTAGAAGGTGTTCAAGTGATACTGTTATAGCTAAGAGTTATAAATTGTTGAAGGATGATGGTGTACCACATACACATACACATCCACATCCACATACAAAATCTTTACCAAATTTATGTGTTAATTTTTATGAACTTGATTCGAAACAAGGAATCTCAAAGTGGGACATACTCAGGAAAGATGCTTCAAGGATCATAAAAGATGGTGATAAACAACCGTCTGAAGATACGAAATCAAAGGATCATAAAAACAATGGTAAGGATGACTTAATTATTTCTTGCAAAATTGATGAAGTATTGAAGTTGAATACTTACTGTTTTCAGATGCAGCAAGTGGTAAAAGCTGGAGCCTTTGGCCATTTAACAAAACAAGAAGCAAACGGTTTACACAGGACATTCGAAAAGATTCTGAATTTGGTTGTGGGTCAGAGGTGGAAGGAGAAAAAGATCCTTTATCAAAGTCACAGCATAAGATGCGAAGAGAGCTTACACCAACACCCCAACAGTTAGAATCTTTGAATCTTACAGAGGGAAAAAACACAGTAACTTTCAAGTTTTCAACAGCAGTTTTAGGGAATCAACAGGTTTGTTTCTAGTCTTTTTTTTTTGGTTGAAATGTGTTTTTGTTTGTTTGTGTTGTGTGTTATGTTTCTGACAATATGCAGATACTTTTCAGGTTGATGCTAGAATTTTCTTGTGGAAATGGGATTCTCGCATTGTCATCTCAGATGTTGATGGAACAATCACCAAGTAAGATTATATTTAATTAAATGTATCCTACTTTCTTCGTTATAGTTACATGAATACTTTTTTGGATTTATCTTAAGTTTGTAGAATGAACATAGGATTCGATATTAATTGAAGATGAAAAATCCTTTTACTCCCGATTTCTTCAGATTTTATATATATATATATATATATATATATATATATATATATATATTAATATATATATATAATTTTAAAATCATATTTTACAGATCTGATGTTCTAGGACAGTTCATGCCTTTGGTTGGAAGAGACTGGTCACATATTGGCGTAACGCATCTCTTTTCAGCTATCAAGGTTTTTTTTTTCATTTTCTTGTTAAATGAAATGATATAATATTTGTGGGATATGATATGATGGTTTGAATTTGTTGTTGTTTTTGTGGTATATATATAGGAAAATGGATATGAAATTCTATTTCTTAGTGCTCGGTCAATTTCTCAAGCCGATATCACTCGACAGTTCTTAATCAACCTTAGGCAGGTAAATAAATTATAAAATTAAAGTCAAGTGAATCGAGTTTTTTGTTTGACTTTTTTTTTTAATCTCTTTTTCTCATTTACTAAATCGATAAAATTGCAGGAAGGAAAGGCCCTACCCGAAGGTCCCGTGGTTATTTCCCCTGATGGACTTTTTCCATCACTATTTCGTGAAGGTAAGTAATAATTTTAAGTCTTTCATATATTCCATTAAGCTTAATTTAAACAACGACAAAATACAAAAAAAAGCTACTCAACTTTTTTTTTTTTTTTTTTTTGCAGTTATTCGTAGAGCTCCTCACGAATTCAAAATTACTTGCTTGGCGGTTGGTTCTTAGTTCATGATTAGCTTTTATGTTTGTTTATACCACAAGCAAAGCAAAAGTCGTAATAATAAATGGAGTAATAATCATGACAAGGTTTTGAAATTTATATGCAGGATATTAGGGCGTGTTTTCCAGATGATTGGAATCCGTTCTATGCTGGTTTTGGAAATAGAGACACCGATGAATTTAGCTACCTCAAAGTCGGAATACCAAAGGGAAAAATCTTCATCATCAATCCAAAGGTACTTTCTTGTAGCCCTTCTTAATGGGGACATGTTTCTCTTTGACTTAATGAGTTTAATGGGTTAAGCACTTAATCTGATTGTTTCTTTTGACTTAATCTAAATAATATGACTTAATGTATTAAGCCACCAACCTTTTACCTTTTTTTTATTTTTCTCATTTTTTCCACCCAACTCCCCTCACGTGAAAATGGATGAATATAATACATCATTACTCATTCAGCCACTTTACCCATACATACATACATACAATACTTAATGAGAATAAAAACAACCCCTTAATCCCATAAGTTATATATGATTGTTTCTTATTGACTAAAAAGAGAAAATTAGGAAAAATGACCTTTCCCCATTAACTCCTAACTTTCTACAAAATTTTCCTCGTCTATTCTGCCTAATGTACTTTTTAAGCTATACAACACTTTATACGCATAGCACTTGTTCTGATATTATTTAATAAAAGGGATTTCAGTTTACGGTTATTTTTCATGTTTGTTTTGATTATTGACAGGGGGGAAGTGGTTGTAAACCGTTGTCATGACACAAAATCATATAGTTCTCTTCATTCTATTGTCAACGGCATTTTCCCACCAAAATCTGAGCACCAGGAGGTCAACCTTGATAAGATCGATGAGATACACCCTCCTGAAAGAGGATTATAACTTCTGGAAACTTCTAGAAACTTCCAGACACTTCCGCTCTCCTGAAAGAGGATCTCGCCAGGTGGACTAGCTAGGGTGAGAGATGTATGTATCCATCGATGTTAAATCCAAATGTCATGCGTGCCCGAATGCAACAAGCAAGCAAGTTAGGCGAATCGAATAGGAACCAAAAGGAATAGAATGTATTCAACACTTGACAAAACATCATATATCTAGCTAATTACCTTACCACTAGAAATAAATTTTAATTTTGTAACGTTATTTCATGTGGCCATAATTTGGAATAAATATTCATTTTATTTTATTTTTCTTCACAAAATAAATCAAATCAGAAATAATGGGATCAAATACAAATACATGTGGATGGCAAAATGATTTTGGCTAAGTTTCATTGGGTTAGGTCATCTTTGGTCACCGGGTGATCGTGTACTTCCGAACTAACAAAAAACCATCGAATGAAAGTTGCTCAAAATCATCGATTTACTAGTAAAATTTCTTTCGTAATCGAGGAAATGTGCATGGATTTCGAGTTGTTGAGCAAAATATGATTTTGGCTAGGTTTCATCAGGTTGGGTCATCTGGTCACCGGTTAATCTTGGTCGTATCTAGTCGTGGCCTTAGCCGAGTCGAAAAATCTTCGACGCTATAATTCTCTATAACTCACCAAAATGAAGCCGGTTTGGCACGAATTTGACAAGGATAAAGGACATTACAATATTAAAAACAAGTGACCAGTTCGTAATTCACCAATTGTGGTGGACGCAACCTCTGAAAGAACAATACAACAACCGAAGCTTAGTTTTCAGGTTGTCGTTCGAGAAGTCAAGGCAACATGACTGGTTTTTCAGGTTGTCATTCGACAAACAAAGGCAACATGTTCGAGAAATCGAGGCCATAGGGCTTGTTTTCAGGTCTTTGTTCGAGAATCAATGCAACATGTTCTAGAATCAAGGCAAACGGGGCTTGCTTTCGGGTCGTTGTTCGAGAAAACCAAGTCAAGGCAACGCGGCGAGTTTTTAGGTCGTCGTTCGAGAATTCAAGGAGACGTATTCTAGATTTCATTGCAAATGGGCTAGTTTTCAGGTCACCATTCGACAAACCAAGGCAACATGTTCTAGAAATAAAGGCAACAGGGCTACTTTTCAGAATGTCGTTCGAGAAATCAAGGCATCATGCTAGCTTTCAAGTCGTCGTGTGAGAAACACGGGCAACATGTTCTAGAAATCAAATCATCATTCGAGAAATCAAGGCAACGGGACTAGTTTTCAGCTCATCGTTTAAAAAACCAAGGCAACATGTTCAAGATATCAAAGCAACGGGGCTAGTTTTCAGGTATTTGTTCGATAAATAAAAGCAATAGTTTTCAGGTTGTCGTTCAAGAATTCAAGACAACATGTTCTAGAAATCATGGCAATAAGGCTAGTTTTTAGGTCATCGTTCGTGTGAAATCCCCCATTTTTCAGAACCAATTAAAACATTTTTCTTTACGCTTTATAAAATTGAGATGCGGAATTTCCCAGTTAAACAAAACATTTTGAGATAACAGAAGTTATTTCATTTAATTAAAAACCTTGAGAATGTCATCATTCGTATCCAAAGATACATTACAACGTAAGTACTAAAAGGTCTTGAAACTACTAGGCACATCTCTTTATTCCACTCAACATTCTAACTAGACTACAATAACCTTGGTTCCACTACCTATGATGCATAAAAATGAGCGAGTCAGGTTTGGGAAAACCTGGTGAGATACGTAGGGCTTTCAAACCCATAATAATTTAGTGATATTAAATAATATCATTTCTGCAAAACAACGTTATCGGATAATATCTATAAAATATGACCTAAGACCAACTACCCAACCCAATCGATCCTCACAGATCCTAAATGCAACAATTATCGGGAGGAATCACCCAACCTGATGAATCGTTTGAGCAACTGTTTGACTACACAGCTAGGGGTGTCCTTGGCCAGTGTAAGTCATATAAGGCAACCAATGTTCAGAGATTTGATAAGTATGGTATCCCATTTTATCTACGTCCATGGGTTATAAGTCCATGCTAGCAACGTAATTCACTAGGCTGCCTAGAATAGTCAAGTGTTGGCATCTACTCTGGTTGATGATCCAGCCAGTTGTGTGATCTGGACCCACCATTTCTAGTCATCCAAGAAATAGGAGAAACACTCCGTTCTGATCTCACACACCCTACCCAGTCATGAGACCTAATCAATATCTAACTTAATTTCAATTAAGTGTCCTTTAAAAGTCTTATTCTTAAACCTAAGGCAAGACTTATAACTAAAGGTAATCGATTCCCAATACAGTTTATAATTCAATAATATTATCCTAATTATACAAATAGCATATAACACAAATAATACATGCAATCATTTATCATTTCTTATAAATAATACTTTTATTTTAGATTATGATATTGATAGAAACTACGAACTCACCTGACAAAAGTGTCTAGTGATTGGTGAATCGGACAGAGCTTCGCGTTACACCTTTTCCAAAAGACCTAGATGTACATAACGCTAAGTCTTAGTCTATTATCCTAAGGGTTTAGATTCCACAATAATCCCAATGTCTACTTCAAGATCTAAACAAGGAATAACTAGGTAGGATCTTATCGGAGGTAGGGTTTGTTTGGTATACATAGTATACTGTTTGGAAATCTCACTTTAAACACCTTACTAAATCTAGCCTAGGCATTACTCCCTAAAGTAGATCAAGCAGCATAACGACTTGAAATCATTGATAAATATTACTTATAAGTTCCTAGTAGCGACTTATAACTATGATTATAAATTACATATGCAACGTCCCAAAATTCAAGACTAATTTTTTTTTTTTTCAATTTTTAGAATAATAAAAACCGTCTTTCAAACGTGTTTATAGAACCATAATAGAATCAAGTATGATCAAAACATCCAAATACATCATAGTAAAGTAAAATGCAGAACAACGTGGTGTGTGCGATGCGATCACCCCGATCTCTTCCCCTTGGATCCGGAAGTACCTGAAACAAAACTGAAAACCGTAATCACAAAGCCTAGTGAGTTCCCCAAAATACCGCATACCATACATATATGACAGATCAAGGCTATGTCGGGTCTATTTCACCCCTGAGTCTATTTCAACTCATGCATCGACCCAAGCCGTACTGGGTCTATTTCACCCCTGGGTCTATTTCATCTCATATGTCAACACAAGGCTGTACCAGGCCTATGTCACCCCTAGGTCTATTTCACCCCACATACATATAGCAAACAGACACACAATGTAACACCCAATTTCGAATCGCTTCATTATTCGAGGCCGTGACCCGATTATCAGTTATCATAAGGCATCGGGCCTTAGGGGAAGATATAATTACTGTAACGACGTAATTTTCAAAACAATTTTTCATTTTTAAATCATACTTCCAATCACACAATAATCACAAAAACATAATGTATCCACTGTTTCATAACAAAACATGTCCCAGAATCTCAAAATAACATAAACTCCATAAGTTGTGACGGATCATGTCGGCGCCTTCCCGCGATCCTCGCTAGTACCTGAAACACATAACATAACAACTGTAAGCATAAATGCTTAGTGAGTTCCCCAAAATACCACATACCCACACATACCCTTTCCAGGCCATAACCCTGTAGGATCCTCCGATCCATGTGTCTCAGGGGACTCCGTCCCGAATCCCGTAGACCCTCCGGTCCTACCCGTATCTACCTTCCGGTCCGTAACCTCTTGACCTTCCGATCCATATCATCTTGACCTTCCGGTCCATATCATCTTGACCTTCCGGTCCTTATCGTACATAACATACATAACACATACATATCACATAACAACATACAACTCATACATCTCATAGCATGTAAGACCTTCCGATCACCCATAGGTACAATAATGAATTACCTCCTTGGTTGCAACCCCTCTTAAAAACTAAAAAAAGGCCTACGAACACGAACGGGAAGGATGAAAGCGAGTTGGTAGCTAATTACTCATCCGCAATCAGCCCTTCCCGTGGGTTATTTTCTCACGAATAAGTAATTCTAGAATGAAATCTTTATTTAATTCGAAAAAGCAAGCACAAGCCAAGGCTAAAATATGAAAAATTTTGATTTTTCATATTTCGAATATTAAACAAAAGGATTCGCAAATAAAAGTGCTCCCTTCCAGGTATAGTATAGTGAGAAGACTCACCTCAATGAAGTCGGATAAACTCTCGTGCTCAACGTCCCGAACTAGCCTCCTCCTATTATTCAAATAACATCCCCGATCAATATTCTCTCAAAGTCTCATCCCTAAAGATTGGGTAGAAGACCATTCTACCCTCCCCTGAACTCTCTTAAATCAGTCTTGACCAGAACCCTAAGGTCAACGAAAGTCAACGGTCAAACTTTGACCCGACTCGTCGAGTGCACAAGGGCGACTCGGCGAGTCCATGTGGGTCCTCTGAATCCTTCAAGCCTCTCTTGGCTCGTCGAGTCATCCTTCCACTCGACGGGTTTCTCCTGTCACGAATCGCGGGGCAACTATTGGGTTTTGAGCATTCTAACACTCCTATGGTGTACATGCAACCCTATAAACCTTGGATCTATGTTTTCTCTATTATACATGCAAATATTAACTATTCCAAGGTTTCATCCTAACTAGCATATTATGAAGCACCGATACTACAAAGTTCTAGTTAGATGACATACATTTTGATGTAGTTTGATGTCTTCAAGCTTTAAGAGCTTAGCCCCAATAATGTGGAAGCCTCAAATGGAATCACAAATCACCAAAACACCTTGGAAGAACTTGAGAGAATATGTATGCACACTAAAATCGGCCCACTCTTATTTTCACACACTTGTGCCAATTTTG